AAAAAAAAAAAAAAAAAAGGATGGGACTCCAAGTGTGCATACTATTTTTTAATTGGCATTTTTCACTTAAAATACAGTTAAATATATTCTTAAACCATTATATATTCTTTAACAGTATATTTCCTATTTTACTATATGTTTGCATAATAACTTACCAATCTTTATTCCTGAAAATAGATTGTTTTTAATAAAATAAAACAGTGATATACACCCAAATATGTATCTCTGTGGTACATCTTTGATATTAAGATATATTCAAAATGTGAAATTATTTTCTCCAAACGACATGAACTTTCTTATGGCTTTTGACATTTTGTACAAATTTCTTCTCAGAAGCAGTCCATGAGAACAGAAATCTGGATGTTTCTTTTTTCTTTCTCATAATAAGACTAAGAAAATGTGTTCTCCGGGACAAATACCATACAAATAAAGCATGACTCTCACTGTGTCTCAGACGGTATGTGGCATTAATGTAACACAATGCCACATACATAGTGATGTTAACCTTTGTTAATTGGTATCCATTTCTCTTGCATAAAGTTAACAAGTTTCTCCTTTCTATAATCTATTTTTTAGATAAAAATATTAGGTCAAATATTCAAAAATGTGTCATGATATTCCCAGTGACTCAGTAGCTAAGTCCAAGCAACACTAGAGAGGAGGTGAATTATGTTCTTTCCGTGGAGAGAGGTATCTTTTTTAAAAATATATTTTAAAATTGTAGATTCAGTTACTTTTAAAACTACAGATTTACTCAGAATGTCTAATTATTGAGTCAGTTGTGAGATTTATATTTTTCCTAGGGAATAGTTCATTGCATTTAAGCTTTAAAGTTGATTAGTATTTAAGTTATTCATATGGTTTATATCCGCTTTTAAATTTATAGCATCTATGTTCACTTTACTCATTTCCTTAATAGTGTTCATTAAGAATTTCTCTCTTCATCAATTTTGTCAGAGATTATCAATTTTCTCTTTTAAAAATAATAGTATAAGACCAGCCAGTGGTGTGGTAGTAGAAGGACTGTTCGAGTCCTGGACCAGGTACACAGGTGCATGCCCAAAATCCTGAGAGGAGAATGGAGGAAAAAGAATTGCAGCATGACTTTTCCACCTGAAGTATGCTTTCTCATTTCCACCTCTTCCTCCCTCATTCTCTGTCTTGTCTACCTCTCTCTGGCTAGTGCACATGTCCTCTGACAAATTAAAAAATAAAAACGGTATAGTTTTTTTTTTTTTTAACTTTTCCACTTAGTTACAAATTTCTTTTCTTTTCTTCTAATTTCCCAAAGAGTGTGTGCACTTACTAGAGACAGAAAGACAGGCGGGACAGAGAGAGAAGCCCCCACCATAGGGTATGGTCATGCCACAATCCCTTCTCCTCCATTTCTCTATCCTGTTGGGAATTCTGGCATGCACACACCTGCCCCTGGTGTGCTTCTCAAGCTGCGCTGGGTCTGGGACTTGAACTGTGTGATCATTTATGTGGGATCTGACTTCCTTAACCACTAGGCCACACAGCTGGTCCATCCAACCCAGTCATGAATTTCTGTTATAATATATATTATTTCTTTCCTTCTACTCTCTCTGGATATTTTCTGTTCTCTAACTTCCTTGGTCAAGTTACAAGTGTTACTCTGTTATTTTCCAGACTTTTCTATCATGTAATATAAAGAGAACTATGATTGTTTCTTAGAGTATCACTTTAGATTCCTCTCATTTTTTTTTTTTAAGGTTTTTGCTATAGGGCATGTGCACTGGCCAGAAAGACAGAGAGACGGAAAGCAAAAAATCACCCCCCAGGGGAGATGGCCATGCCACAATCCCTTCTCCTCTATTCTCCTTTCAGGATCTTGGGCACACATGCACACGCGCCCAGCATGAGTTTAAGCCACCGGGTCTGGGACTTGAACCACGGTTGACTACATGGGAGTCCAGCAACTTAACTATTACACCAATTGCTGGTCCTCCTCCCACAAATTTTTTTAAGTTAATACATATTTAAGAAAAATTGCATTTTTGTGCTAAGTTTTAAAAAATATCTACACTAGAAAAATGTACATATCTTAAGTTTCTGGCTCAGTGAATTCTTACATATATATATATATACAACCACTTGGCTTAAAAAAAAAAAAACCAGGTACACAGGTGCATGCCCAAAATCCTGAGAGGAGAATGGAGGAAAAAGAATTGCAGCATGACTTTTCCACCTGAAGTATGCTTTCTCATTTCCACCTCTTCCTCCCTCATTCTCTGTCTTGTCTACCTCTCTCTGGCTAGTGCACATGTCCTCTGACAAATTAAAAAATAAAAACGGTATAGTTTTTTTTTTTTTTAACTTTTCCACTTAGTTACAAATTTCTTTTCTTTTCTTCTAATTTCCCAAAGAGTGTGTGCACTTACTAGAGACAGAAAGACAGGCGGGACAGAGAGAGAAGCCCCCACCATAGGGTATGGTCATGCCACAATCCCTTCTCCTCCATTTCTCTATCCTGTTGGGAATTCTGGCATGCACACACCTGCCCCTGGTGTGCTTCTCAAGCTGCGCTGGGTCTGGGACTTGAACTGTGTGATCATTTATGTGGGATCTGACTTCCTTAACCACTAGGCCACACAGCTGGTCCATCCAACCCAGTCATGAATTTCTGTTATAATATATATTATTTCTTTCCTTCTACTCTCTCTGGATATTTTCTGTTCTCTAACTTCCTTGGTCAAGTTACAAGTGTTACTCTGTTATTTTCCAGACTTTTCTATCATGTAATATAAAGAGAACTATGATTGTTTCTTAGAGTATCACTTTAGATTCCTCTCATTTTTTTTTTTTTTAAGGTTTTTGCTATAGGGCATGTGCACTGGCCAGAAAGACAGAGAGACGGAAGGCAAAAAATCACCCCCCAGGGGAGATGGCCATGCCACAATCCCTTCTCCTCTATTCTCCTTTCAGGATCTTGGGCACACATGCACACGCGCCCAGCATGAGTTTAAGCCACCGGGTCTGGGACTTGAACCACGGTTGACTACATGGGAGTCCAGCAACTTAACTATTACACCAATTGCTGGTCCTCCTCCCACAAATTTTTTTAAGTTAATACATATTTAAGAAAAATTGCATTTTTGTGCTAAGTTTTAAAAAATATCTACACTAGAAAAATGTACATATCTTAAGTTTCTGGCTCAGTGAATTCTTACATATATATATATATACAACCACTTGGCTTAAAAAAAAAAAAAGAAAAGAAAGAGAAGAACGTATGTTCCCCCAAAGAGTTCAAATACGCTTCTCCCCATCAGAGATAAACAGTAATGCAGATTTTCAT